AAAGGTGAGGATATTGGAGCTCCCCCTCCCCCCATAGCCTTTAGTCATTCTGGAGTATTGTTTGGAGCCCAGGTTACCCTCAAACCTGATATGTGGCAAAGGATAACAGTGAACTGTTCCTCCTGCCAAAGTGTTGTGATCATCAGAATGTACCATCAGGCCCTTGGGGCTTCTTAATGCTTCAGAAAATGTCCCCCTGTGATTCTGAATTGCAGCCAAGTTTGGGAACTCTTATCACAAGTAGCAGAATGGAGATCCAGCAGAAGGCATCAGAAGGCTGATTTAGCTGTGATTGAGGACAAGCTTTCTAAACTCTGGTCAAGAATGGAGCTAGGAGAAGTAGCTGGCCTCCCACATCACTCAACAATCAAGAAAATGCTCCACAGCCATGGCCATAGGCCAATCCAATGCAATGGAGGCAATTCCCCAATTGAGGCTCCCTCAACCCAAGTGTGTCACAACTAAAGCTATCCAGCACACCCACCCAGCATTGATGTGGGTTCTGGGCATCTGAATTCCCTGTCATTAGGCTTGTACTGCAAAGGCTTTAACCACTGAGCCATCTCCCCAGCACCACATTTGTTTTATTTTATTTAAAAATTATTTATTTTTTAATCTATTCTCTCTTTCCACCATGTTGGTTGTGCAGGTCAAACTCAGGTCATCAGGCTTGGTGGCAAGTGCCTTTACCCATCAAGCCATCTCTCTAGCCCTCACATTTGAATTTATTTATTTATATATCCTTTTAAATTTTTTTATAGTTAAAACAATTATTTTTATTTTAAGTATATGGAGTATTTTGCTGCTTGTATATAAGTGCACCACGTGCATGCAATGCCCACAGAGGCTAGAGGTGGGCATTGGATCCCCTGGAACTGAAGTTACAGACAGTTGTTAGCTGCCACGTGGGTACTGGAAGCTGAACCTGGGTCCTCTGCAAGAGCAGCCATTGTTCTTAACTGCTGAGCCATTTCTCCAGCCCCCACTCCCCCAGTTTGCTTTAAGCACCCATTCCCTGTCCTTTGGCTTCTCACATGAGGTAGAGAACCCAAGGTCCTAGCAATAGCTAAGAAGCCACAGGGTAGGCAGGGAGTCCCACCCCACATTCGGAAGGCACACAGGACAAGCGGTGGGGGATGGTCCTGAAGGCTGGCTCTTCAGCCAGACTTTTGTTTGACCCTCACTCTGTCCCTCACCTATTGAAGGTGTCTATCAAACAGGGCTGGAGAAGTTCTAGCAGAAGACATCGGAGATCTCGTCACAGGAGGAACCTGAGGTTGACAAGCGAAGTTTGAGAAATGTTTAACTACCTTTAATGGTCAATATTGTCATTACTATTTTTTTTAATTTTATTATTTTTATGTGTATGAGTGTTATGTCCGCATGTATGTAAGTGCACCTGTGTTGTGCAATGCTGGAGGAGAAAAGAGGCTGTTGGATCCCCTGGAACTGGAGTTACAGGCAGTTGTTAGCTGCCGTGTGGGTGCTGGAATTCGAGCCCAGGTCTTCTGCAAGAACAACCAGTGTTCTTAACCAGTGAGCCATCTCTCCAGTCCCTTGTCATTACCATTTTTATCTGCTACTAAAAAGTGATTATGATCCACTGAGCAAAGGGCGGCCTTTTAGCTTTATTCTTTGAAAGTTAAGAATGAGAAATATCAGCAATTAAAACCTCAAAGATGGGTTTAGGTGAATAGGTCCATTTCCATTCTGGACCTCCCCATAAAAATGCCTTGCATGGTGTTGGTGTGTACTTATAATCCCAGTGCCGTGGGGAGGCAGAGCCAGGATCCCTGGGGCTCACTTGGCCCTAGTCTAGCCTAATTGGTGAGCTCCATGTCACTAAGAAACTCTTTGTCTCAAAGGAGGTATATAAAGGAAGCTGTCTTCCATCCTGTGTACACACACACACACACACACACACACACACACAACTTCTCTCTCTAGGGGAAATAGTAAGGTAGGGACTCCAATGTCACATTTGTGACCATGTCCAGAGAAGGGTCTGCTGCCCCTGACCTGCCAGGCCAGCTGTCTTCATGTCTGTGTTGGAGGATTCCTGGATGTACTCGGATACCCTCTCCCTTCTGGGAAGTGGCTGCGAGTCATAGCTCTGGGCAGTATTGAGTCACAAGGGTAAATGACTAATGCTCTTGTGTAGTGATTGGTAGCTTAAGGTTAAGTGCCTTTTGAATGGGTTTATCAGGATGTAACCAGGAGCATTTGTAAATATTTGTTTCCAAATTGTGGACTAGGTATTTAGTGGGCAAGGAAAAGGCTCAGGTCCCTAGAATAGCAGGGACTCCCCTGCATACTCTGTGGAGCGAGGCCTGCAGGGCTGGCAGGGGATGATGGTCTGGACTTGTAGGTTTAGGGACCTTGAGGCAGGAAGGGCAACTTGAATTTGAATAAAAGGTGGCATCAAAGACAAGACCCATGCCAACTCAGTCAGATAAGGGCCCAGAGTGGAGTGAGGGAAATGGGTGGCGGGCTGGCCCTAGCCTGGGAACTGTTGAAAACTGATTGCTGCTGGGTGAGGGGGAATAGCCTTCCATAAGACATCTAGATAGGCTGACTAGACTCCAGTGGATGAACTTGTACTGAAGGACATCTGGGTACAGATGCTCTACCTGATGGGGTTTGACATGTATGGCAGGATACATGAAGTCTGACAGGGGAGGTGTAGGGGAGCATGGGTCGGGGAGGTGATCTGAATTTGATCAAGTACTGTTGAATGAAATGTACAAAAGTGTATGCAGGACATGATGGTGCAGGCCTTTAATCCCAGCAGGCAGAGGCAGAGGCAGGAGGATCTCTGAGTTTGAGGCCAGCCTGGTCTACAAAGTGAGTTCCAGGCCAGATGGGACTACAGGGAGAACCTGTCTCAAAAATACAAAAAAAGTGCAATAAAAAATATTTTTTTAAAAAAAATGCTGATCAAAAGATAACTCAGAATTGTCATTTAAGTGCCCAGTGATAACTGTTTGAATAGATAAATAATGCTTAATCTGATGAATCTGATTAAATGTTGCAAAAAAGAAAGGAATCTGCACAGAGGGCCAGGCCATTCCCTGCACTTAGGAGGTGGGCAGAGGCCACATCATGTGGGTGGGTAGGATGGCATGTGTATTTTTTTTTTAATCAGGCTGGCCTCAAACTTACAGAAATCAGCTTGCCTCTGCCTCCCAAGTTCTGGGACCAAAGGAGTAAGTCATACCATATCCAGAGAGTTTTATTTTTCTCCTGTGGATGCCACTGATAGATTTCTAACAAGGAAACTAGAGAGTCTGGCTTGGGGTTGGAAAACTAATGGAAAAGCTAAAAATAGAACTGAGATTTGTGGAAATCCAAGGAAGAGGTGGTGGCTTGTTGGTCCTAGGGTGAGGGGTGATGGAACTGTCCTGACTGGCCCAATAATGGCTGTGGGAGGTGCAGGCTTAGCTGGACAGCAAGGCATGAGAGTGGATGATGAGCCTCTGCTCCAGGCTGCTATTAGGTGTTTTCATTTATTTACCTTACTTGAAAAGAACTCTCCTCTCCCCAACTGCCTTTTACCCAGTTTGCTATTTGCTAGAAATAAAATCAGGCCTGTTTTTTTATTGTTTTTGTCTTATGAGGTAAGAGTCCTGTAGCTTATTGGCCTCAAGCTTGTGTGTTAGAGGATGACGTTAAACTCTAGATTCTTCTTCACCTCTGGGTAGTGTTAGAATTTCAGACAAGCACACTTGGCCTCAGTTGCTGTGTGTGTGTGTGTGTGTGTGTGTGTGTGTGTGTGTGTGTTTTAAATTTTTGTTTGTCTTTTGCTGTGCTGGGGGAGTCAACCAGAGCCTTGTAGATGCTAGGCAAGTGTTCTATCACTGAGCTACATACAGCCTTAGCCTTATGTGTTTATTTTTGAGACAAGGTCTTATGATGTAGCTCTAGTTGGTCTAGAACTTATGATTGTTCTGCCTCTGCCTCCCAAGTGCTGGGATTACAGGTATGTTCCAGCGCACCCTGTTCTGTATAGAGTATTTTTTTAAAAAATCTTTTTTGAGATGGAATCTCGCTGTGGCTCTAGATGGCCTGGAACTCACTATGTAGACCAGGCTGGCCTTGATATCACAAAGGTCTGCCTGCCTCTGCCTTGAGAATGCTGAGATTAAAGGTGTGTGCCACCACACCTGCCTCCTCTGTTAATAGTCTTTAATAATCACTTGTAGCTTTGGGTGGTGGTTTACCTGTAATCCCAACACTGGTGGCTGAGACAAGAGGACTTTCTTGAGTTCCAGGCCAGCCTGGGCTACAAAGTGAGACCTTGTCTCAAAAGCAAGCAAACAGCTTCCTCCAAACTCCCGAACAAACCCCCCAAATACCTTATTTTATTATTTATTTATTTATTATTTATTATTTATTATTTATTTGAGACAGAGTCTCCCTGTAGCCCCAGCTGGCCTGGAACTTGCTATGTGGACCAGGCTGGCCTTGATCTCACAGAGATTCCCCTGCCTCTGCATCCTGACTGCTGGGATTAAAGGTGTGTGCCACCATACCCAGCCTAAAAAAATTATTACTGTGTATATCTGAGGTGTATATATGGCACACGTATGGAAGTTCTCGATGCCATGACTTCTGGAGATTGCACTCGGTTGTTGTACCATGCTTGCATGCAAGTACTTTTCTCCACCAAGCCATCTTACTGTCTCCAAACCTCACCTTCTACCCATAGGTTTTATTTTTATTTTTTAAGATAGGGATCAATACCCAGAGAGAGAAAATGGGGGAAGAGAAGAGGGAGGGAGGGAGGGAGAGAGAGAGAGAAAACACAAAAGTCAGCTTCTAAATATATAGTTAGAGCTGTTCTAGAACTTGGGGTCCAGTTGTCTCTGCCTCCTGAGTGCTAGGGTTGCATGCCAGGCTAGAGTTTTTCTTTTGAATGACTGAGTGGTATTTCATAACCTGCATCTCCATTATAATTTATTTAACCCATCCATCTCTATTCTTGTTTTTCCCACTTTCAGGTTGACCAATATCTCTACCACATGCGCCTCTCTGATGAGACCCTTCTGGAGATTTCTAGGCGGTTCCGGAAGGAAATGGAGAAAGGTCTTGGAGCCACCACACACCCTACTGCAACTGTGAAGATGCTGCCCACCTTTGTGAGGTCAACTCCGGATGGGACAGGTATTGTGCTGGGGGGTTGGAGGTAACTGGCTCCGAGTGCTCCTGGACTGGAAAGCCATTTGGTTGCCTTTGATCAGGGACACAGAGAACTCTTTCAGTCATAGATTCGTGGTTTCACTGTTAGAACACAGGTTGGTGCAGGTAGTTGAACGGGAGGCTGTGGGGGTGGGATGGTCACCTGGCAGCTAGGCAGCCAAGGTCAAAACCCTTTGCTAGTCCTCCCAGGACACTGCTCACAGCCATTCATTTTCTGCTCATGTGCTAAGCAATGCTTCTTAGCTCAACTTGGGTCTTCAGTTCTACACAGATGGCCCGCAGTGGTGGTGGTGAACCGTGATAGCCATGCCTTGATGGTCACAGCTGTAAGCTATGGCAGCTACTCTCTGGCCTGCTTGTACCCATGCCCTAACTGCACATTCTGTATGCATGTTGGAGAAAAGTGTTGTACGTATTATTCTAGATAGTTTCATGAGCTCCATGGAAAAGTCCTAGAAGTCCAAATAAACATGTAGAAAATGTGAAGGTTAATAAAGATGTGGAAACCAGGACCTGTTGAGCTTTGTTTAATCTCCTTCTGGATACAGAGTCTCTCCTTCATGGTACCACCAAGCAAGAGATCTTTATTATACTGGTGGAGATTAAAGTGGGGAAGGAGACATGAGCAAATATCTATTCACCTCAGATAGAGGGTAAGGGTTAGGTCCCAGAAGGCCTTGCATGCAGGCCTGAAATGTAGACTCTTCCTTCTGTAAACATGGTAGAGATGATGATGGAAGAGTCTGAGGAATGTGAGTAGAATCTTCATCTGTATCAGCATGGGTTGGGATGCCAGGGAGAACATAATCATGGCCATGGGGTGGGTGTGATGGGCAGGGGAGAGAGAAGAGTCAAAGCAGACACCAGGAGGTTAGGCCCATATGGCAGCTTGTCTGGCAGCATCCCTAGAGAGGTAGGTGGAACTGAGTTTTGGAAGGACTTTCACTTGGCTTGTTCATCCTCACAGGAACCCTCCATGTTCTAGATGAAGCAGCTGTGAGGTCCATGAAGGGTGGGGAACTCAGGGGGGTACTCTTCATCTAGGAAAAGGAGAAAGAACACAGGGCAGGGGAAAGACCAGGAAGCAGACTCTTTAGAACCTGAGGGAAGAGATAAGGCCAAGAAACCAGCCAGTGGCCAGACGGGTGTGGATGAGGCTTCCAAAGCAGATATTCGGGGTTGGTGCTGCAAAGGCAGGTTGGTTCTTGACTTTCCATAACATTTGTGTCCTTGAGGCTCATTTCCTGAGAGTCTCTGGCAGCCTGGTTTGTCTAACAAGACTATGTACAGTTCCTAAAATAAGCACGTTTGCTGAAGCCTTGACCCAGCCTGGCCCCGGTTCTGAGTGTCCTACCTTGTCCAAGGCCATTCTCTGAGTGTGTTCTCAGCCTTCACAGAGGCCCTTGAGATGGGGGAGGGAGGCTGGGAGTTCTCCCTGCTCTGTCCTCTAGATTGGCACATTCACTGTTCTCCCTCTGACTCAAAGCCATGCTCACTTCTGTGTTTCTATTTGACTTTCTGATAATTTTGCTGGCTTCTGAAGGACAGCCTGCATTTCACTAAGTAAGCTGAAGAAATGCACAGTGTGGGCCAGGGACCTATCCTGAGCACTTACCTGTGGTAATTCAGCTACTTTTTGCAAAATGTTGCAAAGTAGATTATTAATTTTTTTTACATTTGTTTATTTCGTTTAGTGTGTTTATATGTGTGCATCTGTGGAGGTCAAAGGGTGAATTGTGAGAGTTGGTTCTCCTTCCACCACGTGGGTCCCGGGGCTTGAACTTACGCCATCAGGCTTGTCAGCAAATTCCTTTACCCACTTTCCAGTCCCCCAAAAGATGATTTTTGTCATCTTTTTAGGGTGAAGCTTGGATGATCAAACAGTTTGTCCAAGGTCACACTGATAATGACAGGCTGAACCAGGTGTCACACACATACACACCAGAGTTACTAGATGTGTGACTGGGCCTGCTCATGCTTGGGCCTATGTACTCAGCCCTGGGGCCAAGAGCAAGTGCTCAGCTAAAATGGTTTTGAAATAAGATTGGGATTGATGGTTTAGGTTGTATTACAGGCAGGTGACAAGTGTCATATATGATGATTCAGCAATTCCATTTCTAAGTCTGCATCTTGAAAAAGCTTCCATGAGAATCCAAGAACACCAATAATGTTCTTATCAGCATGGTTTAGAATAACACTATATTGGAAACTGGTGTGTTTATGTGAAGAAATACTGCATGCTACATAAATGAGAATATGTAAGGATGGATCTCAAAACATCAAGAGTTGCCAGGAGATACATACTTCCTGGTAGGTGGAGATAAATAAAAAAAATTTCTCAAAGCATTCTTGCACTGTTTATGGACACATGCATCTTAAAATTATTGAGACAGAAACTTGACCATGTATATCACATAACACGGGGGCTGTTTCTGGGAAGAGAAAGGAAAATGGAACCAGGGAGGGGAACTTGAGGAAATACGAAGTTGTTAATACAGAGGCCTCAACTTCGTGCTTTGCTTATGCAGGCCTGAGTTATGGGATGAGGAGTTGGACACTCCTCAGTCAGGTCAGTAAAGACCATAGAAATGAAGAGTCTTCTTTTGTTGGAACCCTAGTAATATGCCAAGAGGAAAGACTGTTGTGGAGAGATGGGCTCCCCTAGATAGGGCCACAGATAGCCATGGGCCTCACTGTTGCACCTGTGTCTGGCCAGGGCTGCTGTGACGATAGCTCTTCTCTCTCAGTGAAGGCTGCGGTGCTGCCCAGCACACAGCCTGTGTCAGAGCTTCCTTTCTCAACCTGTTGGTTTCAGTGTTTGTTACTTTTCAAATCAGAGGAATTTGACCTCGAATCTAAAGCTGTTCTCTGGAAACAATCTTCAAGCAGTAGCTTTCTTACTTTTCTGGACTTGTATCCTTTTGAGGGTACGTATACAGAAATCTTCACATATGATGACACAGACTCAAGGACCCTCCTATCCCCTCTCTTCTTTCTACTTGATCTTAGCCAAAAGGCTGAGAAGTGATTTGTTTGTTTGAGACGATTTATCACTGTGTAGCTGAGACTGGAACTCGCTCTGTAGCTGATGATAACCTTGAACTTCTTTCTGATCCTCCTGCTCCCCCTTCCCGAGGGCTGGTATTACACATGTACCACTATGTCTGGTTTTACAGGCAGCCCTAATCTATGCTACTGACTGTGCAGGTGGTTGCAGTACCAACCCCTAACCACGTGACTGTCAGGGGGCCACCACACATTTTGCAAAGGTTTAGCTTTTCTGTCTTATGAAATGCAGAGAAGCCAGCCCCATGCAGTAACGCACATACTGTCTATACTAGGCAGTTTGCATAAATTCACTAAAACTACGAGACCAAAAATAAGGTGATTTGGGGCTGGAGAGATGGCTCAGTGGTTAAGAGCACTTGCTGTTCTTCCATAGTACCCAGGTTTGGTTCCCAGCACCCACGTTGGTGGCTTACCTTGTAACTCCAGCTCTAGGGGATCTGATGCCCACTTCTGACCTTCAAGGGCACCCACACACTTGGGCGCATGCATACACACACACATACATACACATGAATAAAATTTTATTTATTCGCTTTCATTTTATGTGTATGAATGTTATGCCTGCATGTGTGTAAGTGCACCTGTGTCATGCAGTGCCCAAGGAGGACAGAACTGGAATTATGGATGGTTGTTAGCCACTATGTGGGTGCTGTATAGTAAGGCAGAGTCTTACTATACAGCCCCAACTGGCTTGAAACTTGCTATGTAGTCTGGGCTAACCCCACAGAGATCTCCCTGTCTCTGCCTTCAGAATGCTGGGATTAAAGGTATACTCCACATCTGGCCTGAAAAGTCTTTTCAATAAAGTCTCCTTGCCTTGGTTAGAGTGCTTGACAGTACCATTGTGTGTCTTAGAAGGCAGTGCCAAACCCATCATCCAGGACTTCTCTCCTTCCTTGAATTGTGACTTACTTTCATAGTGAATGTTCTCTCCACCATTTAAACAGACTTAACTCCCTGGACAGGGAATGATGGTGACAGTGGTAGTGATGATAATGATGGTGAAAACGGCAGACATATTAAACGCCAGGTCCCATGCTTAGAGCACTCACTCACAGCGTCTTGTATTGAACAGAAAAAGTATTGTACAGAAAAAGAAATTTCATTTAGGGGGAATAGGCAACTTGCCCAAGGCATACAGCAAGCAAGTAGCAGCACTGGGGTTTCAACTCGGACAGCTGCCTGCCAGAGCCCTGAAGCCAGCCACCATGCGGCTTTATGCCTCATGTGCCTACTGCACGGTTAGTACAATACATTCATTCTTCTTTTGGGAAATCAGGTCTAGCTCTTCAGCTTAGCCCACAAAGTCCTCTTTGAGGTTCAGTGCTCTGTGAGTCGTGGTGTGTCCAGCTCCTTGTACCCTGTTTTTGAAGAGTGAAAATTGTCCTCAGGGAGACAAAGCTTACGCAGGTGAAATAATTAGAAAGTGATACCAGGCAGTATAATGTAAGTACACGGTTTGATAAAGGGAACCTGGCCCAGGGATAGGTTGCCGTGGAAGCAGCTGAAACCCTTCCTTATCTCGGTTGCTACGTATTATACCAACATCTATGCAGGACCGCCTAAGTCAACAGCCAGCACACGAGCAAGTTAATAAGTGGGTTCATATGGTGCCAACAGTCCAAACAAAGATTGTGCTGATAGCCTCCATATAGTGGATGGGATTAATGTATGGTGGGCATTGGGCCAAACACCTGATCCTTTTTTAAAAGGCAGTCTCCTGTAGCCCAGGCTAGCTTCAAAATCGCTTTGTAGCCAAGATGATAGCCAAGATGGCCTTGAACTTCTGATCCTCCTGTTTCTACCTTCTACTTTCTGAGTGCTGGGATTCCAAGTGTGCCCCACCAAGTCTGGTTTTTGTGATGCTGGGTATTTCACCCCAGGCTTTATGCATA